ACCATGAGTTCATGAAGTCTGGCACAACGTAAATGTTTGTCACTCTCTGTCAATGAGTTGTCTTCTCCAACGTCACCGTCAGTATCCAACTGCCTTTGCTGTAAGGCAGCGAGCTGCTCCCGGAGATCAATATTATCTCGCCTTAAATCATGTAGAAGATTTTCCATATGAGAGTGACGAGCGTTGGCTGCAGAAACGAGTGCTTTTTGGCCAGTCAATTCAACACGGAGAGCAGAAGCCTCTTCGCGTAAAAGTTCTGTTGTAATTGCAGATTGCTCAATATCCTATGAAAGAGTACATTTAAAATACAGGATAGATTTAATATGTACAATTTTCGAAGTCTTAAGATTGGATAGATAGCAAAACACATGATTCACCTCTGTTTGTACCTCGCTGCTTTGCTGAGCAGGACGTTGCTTTAGTTCTTCTTCAAGCTAGGGGAAAAACAGTTATATAGATAAAAATTATGCATATTCATATCATCATATGGAGTAGCACTATGCTCACCATAGATTTATGGTTTTCAAGCTCCATCATTTGAAAATCTAGAAGTTCCAACTGCTCTTTAAGCTCAATCTTTGTGCCTTCCAGACGCTCTATTTTTTTTGCAGATTCATATAACTAAGTGGAACAAAAATATAATAAGTAAAAAAATAAAAATGCGAATACGATTCCTGCAGAGAAGCATAAATAAGAGATAGAACCTGATTTAAGAGTTTCTTGTTTTGCCGAATTAGATAACGACGTTCTTCAGCTTCTCTCGGATCCTTAAATGAATAAGAGAATTAATTCAGGAAGATGACGAAGTAGCAATAATTTAAAAAGTTAAATAAAAACACTCACAATTTTACGGCGCTGAAAAGCATAATGATAAAAATAAATATTGAGATCGAAAATAAATTTATAGTGAGTAAGATTTTATTGCAAATAAAGGACTGACCCGAGCCATTCTGATCTCTAGGGCTTGTTTTAGATCTTCGATACACATCATTGCATCCAAAAGGTCTGATTCGAGCCGATTTCGTGTCTAGTTAGGCACAAAAGCGTCGAATGTTAGAAAATGATTTGTTTGGCCAACTAAGCAAATTCAAGTCATTGATTAAATTAAGCAATAGCGGTACTGATAGAATGTTCTGATAATATAGATAGATAATGTTCAGAGGTAAGAAAAAATGAAATTAAATCCAATTTTGACAAAACACTAGCTTCGATATGTTTACAAGAAGAATACAAAAACAAAAACAAAGTTATGATGTGGAGAGGAATGAGAGAAATATATCGTTCATTGGATAACAGCCGTTGTCAATTATATAACAAAATGGCAACACAAA